ACTGATGTATGTTCAAGTGTTCGTTTTTTTCTAATAAGTTTGCTTTTAATTAGTTATTTGATGCTATATAAACGGGGTGTGTCGTCTGTGAGCTTGTGATTGGGTCTGAGGGAGTTTGGACGGGATTTTGATACCGCAGCTCCACCTCACGATCACTACTGCGCAGACTCTGGCTCCAAATTACCTAATTTTCCCAAGATGACGGCGGCCATACTGAGAATGTTTTGGCTTCACTTTTCTATAGTGGAAGGAAGTGGAGACACGCCGTCCATCTTTTTTACAGTCTATGGTTTCACCGCGCTCGAAGGTGCATTCAAGCCATGTCGGATAGATCGTATTTACGAGCTGAATGCACATGAACACCACCACAAAGTCATTGTTACGTGTGGGAAAGTCGAAATTTTCTTTAAGCCCCGAGTTTCCATGTTGGGGGCGTGTCAGTGAGAAAACATTTTGGACACAGCCAAAGACTATAGATATGTAGCGTCTGTATTGATGGTAAATTTGTTGAAATTAACAAAATGATTAATTTATTGTAATGTAAAATAAAACTATATAAGTTACACATACAAAATATTATATCATTGTATAATCATCAAAGAACATATAATGATTCAGTTTACATCACCTTCATAAATTTAATAAAAACTGAAAAAAAGCAAAAACACAATGACGCACATTCTTTATTCATCATTGTGTAGACATGAAGTTTAAAAAAATAAATTTATTTTATTTAGTAATCGCCATATTGTTCCGATCAAAGTGATTTGAACGCAACTGACATCGTTATTACGACTTGTCAACTCGTAAGTACGAACGTCCCAGGAGGACTTGAACGCAGCATAATATAGGGAGGGAAGTTGGAGTAAATAGGACAGGTATTGTAAATACTGAAAAAAATGAGTGGGAAAAAGCTAAAATACTAGTATTAGAGGACGATGGAATAATGGCAATAACAGATAAAGAAAAAGCAGATGTGTTAGGAAAGAAGTTTGCCAGTGTGCATAGTGAGGACCATTTAGATGATATCCATAGACAGAATAAAGAAAATATATTAAATGAAAATAGAGATGTGTTTATTAAAAAAAAGAAAATATGGAAAGTATTATGGATGCAGAAATTAATATGAATGAACTATAGTATTAAATGGTATCAGAAATACTGCTAAAGGAGAAGATCAGCTGAGCTATGTCATGTTCCAGAAATTACCTAATAAAAAATATTAGAGATAATACTGTATTTATTTAATAAGATATGGGAAGAAGGAAAATGCCAAAGAGTTGGAAGAGTGCATTAATACTGACATTTAATAAACCGGGAAAGGGTCCTAGCAATGCTGGCAACTACAGACCTATTGCAAGTGGATGGAGAAGACATTATTCAGAACACTTAATTACTTGAACAAAGATAATTATTTGCACCATATCAAAGTGGTTTTAGAAAAGGATGTTCTACAATGGATGCAGTTGTGAAAGTAAGTAATGAGATAGAGAAAACTTTTAAAATGAAACAACTAATGAATATTATATATTTTAATATAAAAAGCCTATGATTCCATGTGGAGGAAGTGTTATTAATTAAATTAAATAGGAATTAGAGGTAAGTTATATACTGTAAATTGATCTTAGATTTTCTATCAGAAAGAAGATTTAGAGTTAAAGTGGGATCAGAAGTATCTAAAGAATTTAAAATTATTAACGGAATTCCACAAGGAAGTGTTATTAGTCCAATTATATTTCATGTTATGATTAATGATATTTTTATGAATTTAGACAGAAGGATTGGGTCAGCTTTATAAGCAGATGATGGGGCCATTTGGGTAAGAGGACGAGATCCCATAAGTGTGATTAATAAATTAAAGGAATCAATAAGAAAGTGGAACAATGGTCATATAATTGGGGCTTTAAACTTTCTCTAAGTAAGTCATGTCATATGTTATTTACCAGGAAGAAAGGGATAAATAAACAATTTCAAGTTACATGGTTACATATTCGCGCGATTTTTACGCAGCTCTTCAGTGAACAACGGCTCTGTGTAGTTAATGCTGCTCCATGTGAAAGCACGCACGTGATGGAGATTTACCGCTGATTACCGAACCGGCTTTATTGATAAGATGCGCGTTAAATATCACATGCGATTGATCATGCAGCCCTAATACATATATATATACCAACATTGAATATAAGTGTAACGGGCCTGACGAGACGAGAGGCGTGCGGATCCATGTGCAAGCTTTTATTCACAAGAGAAGTGGTCAAACACAGGCAGGGTCGAACAATAGCAAACAAGTATGACACAGGCAAGACAAATAATATTCCTTGGGCTAGCGTGGGTCTACGATCAGCGAACAGTATCCAGAGGCCTTGACAAGAGGGGTAATCCAATAAACACAGGCAGAAGGTCAGTCTAGTCCTTCCGTGTTGCCTTGTTGTCTGTTTCCTAAGACTAAGACTGGTTCAGTGATGTAGCTATCGCTAGAGGAGAGATAAATGCTAAACAAAACTAGAGACTAAACAGAAACACGGAATGGCTCGGTAAAGCAGCTAACACTTGGGGAGTGCTAAACACAGAACAATACACGGAAATCTGAACAGGAACTGAGAGAGTGTTAAATAGAGTGTGTAATGGCTTTCAGTTGAGCGTGTGATTAGTGACGGCTGTGTGATCAGTGAATTCAGCTGTGAGAGGTGAGATTCTGCTTGGTACCTGCTCATGTAAATATTAAAGGGAATGAGAAAGCAGACAAAATAGCAAAAAATAAATAAATCAACCAGGATAAGATATGTCATCAATATTCCCTTTGGTAAAGGAGAAACTAAGGCAATCATCAAAAAAGAAATGATGAAGAAATGGCAGGAAAGGTGGGGCACGGATAATAGTGGAAGAAAATATTACAGTGTACAGAAATCAATTAAGGCACAGGGTGTGAATTGAAAGAACAGAAGGAAGGAATCAGTTTTAACCAGACTGAGGTTTGATCACACAGGATTAAGCAAAACATTGTTTTTATAAGGTAAAAGTCAATCAGATGAATGCTTGGAATGTAAAATCACAGAAAGTGCAGAACATTTCTCCTCTTTCTTCTCTCTCTTTCTCTCTTAATTATTACTAATATGTAAAGTAATATAATCGAATCATAATCCATGCTACATACTCCGGTACAGTAGGTGGTGATATGCACCTAACAAGTTATGGTTGTAATCTGCCATAATACTAAAAGAAGAAGAAGTTTCCCTGCACTCTGTTGTTTTGTTGTGATGCTGTTTTAATACAAACTGTTAGAAATGTTGTTTCTGTAAATAGAAAAATACAGTTTTAGAATCAGGTCAGTAAATACCTGTAATATTCTCATCCTCACAGTCGTGACTACGTTTTGAGGCAAGCAGGGATATCTGGAGGAGTATCATCTGAACTGAGATCTGCTGCTGTGACGATGGTGTTTGTTAAAGAGGAGAGTGATGAGAACACGAGTGAACCAGAACCCTGGAGAATAAAACACGAGGAACCAGAAACCTGGAGAATAAAACACGAGGAACCAGAAACCTGGAGAATAAAACCGGAGGAACCAGAAACCTGGAGAATAAAACAGGAGGAACCAGAAACCTGGAGAATAAAACAGGAGGAACCAGAAACCTGGAGAATAATACAGGAGGAACCAGAAACCTGGAGAATAAAACAGGAGGAACCAGAAATCCGCAGAATAAAACAGGAGGAACCAGAAACCCGGAGAATAAAACACGAGGAACCAGAAACATGGAGCATAAAACAGGAGGAACCAGAAACCCAGAGAATAAAACACGAGGAACCAGAAACCCGGAGAATAAAACAGGAGGAACCAGAAACCCGGAGAATAAAACAGGAGGAACCAGAAACCCGGAGAATAAAACACGAACACGAGGAACAAGGAGGTTGGTGTTTATTCTTCATTCATATTTAATGACTGTTTGTGGTACATTGGGCTTATGAAGCTTACTTTAGGGTTACTATAGGGTCTGAGGGTGTTTTGGGGCGCTGTAGAAGTAAGTGAAAAACATTTTTTTTAAGTCACTGAAATAAGGCCATAAACCCATACAGAACATTTCTTCACAAGACTTGAGAACTGGATGTAGTAGACTCGAGTTTTTGCTACAAAATGATGTGATTATCATCCTTCTCACTCGTTCACAGAAAACAATATGATGATGATATGATGTTATAATAAATGTTATTTTGGAGAATGTGTGTAACCAAACAGTTGAACAGATCATATTTTTTCCTACTATCAAATGTGGACCAGATACTGTTTGGTGACCGACATTTTTCAAAATATATTATTTTGTGTTCAGCACAAGAAATATATCAATACAGGTTTGGGACAACATGTGACTGAGTAAATAATTACATAAATCAAATTTTTGGTTTGTCATGTCAACGATTCGATACGATATCACAATGCATCACGATTATAGCAAATTTATTTAGTAGAATTTTTATTAAATTATATAAGTTACTTTTTTTTTAAAAATGACAAATTAATAATAAATCAAAACAATTGTTAAGAATTTAACCAAGTAAATATAGCTTCAAACATTCAAGCAAATATAAAGTAATAAAGGGGGAAAAAGATAATCAAAAAGTTCTTCAAGTATCTGAGAGTGCTTTAAGTATCCGAAAGTTTACAGACAATCATAATTATGAGTTTTTCTTTTCTCCTTAGCATTATTGCCATTTGAGTATTACTGATGAAATCATAGACAGTGGGAGCTTTAATAGGCTGCATTCACACTGGTGTACTCACCAGTATCGGTATCGGCCGATAAATGCTCATTTTTTCTGTTATCGGTATCGGCCCGATAAGAAAATTTGGCCGATATCTTAAAGCCGATAAATAATGCATTATTTCCTTCAGAGACACTTCAGATGCGCGCTGTTCGTTTGCAGCCTTTTGTATTGCACGTCACGTTCCGGGCCGGAGCAATCTGAATTATTGTAAATACGAGTTTCATAATCAGAAATTGGACATGAACAGCCTTTCAAGTCATAGCTATTTAGGCTACTACTCAGAGATTATTTTGATACTTGAGTTTCCGAGTTAGGCGGGCCATAAACTTTAGATATGTTGGAAGGGACAACGATTGCTGCTGTCAATGCTATTCTTTATGATTCTTTTTATTAAAAAAAGGTGAAAAAAAGACAACAACAACTAGGCTACATCACCTTGTCTTGTCATTAAAGTAGTGCCCATTTATATACAGTATCTCACAGAAGTGAGTACACCCCTCACATTTTTGTAAATATTTGATTATATCTTTTCATGTGACAACACTGAAGAAATTAAACTTTGCTACAATGTAAAGTAGTGAGTGTACAGCTTGTATAACAGTGTAAATTTGCTGTCCCCTCAAAATAACTCAACACACAGCCATTAATGTCTAAACCGCTGGCCACAAAAGTGAGTACACCCCTAAGTGAAATGTCCAAATTGGCCCCATTTAGCCATTTTCTCTCCCCGGTGTCATGTGACTCATTAGTGAGTTCCACTCAGAACAGGCCTCGTCATGGTCGACCAAAGAAGATGAGTGCACATGCTCAGCGTCATATCCAGAGTTTGTGTTTGGGAAATAGACGTATAAGTGCTGCTAGCATTGCTGCAGAGGTTGAAGGGGTGGGGGGTCAGCCTGTCAGTGCTCAGACCATACGCCAAAAGAAGAGCCAATAAATCTTTCACCTGCGCTCAGTGTGAAAAGAGTTTCACACGGAAAACAAGTCTTGAGCGTCACATGAGGGTTCATACTGGAAATAAACCATTCACTTGTGATCAATGTGGGAAGAGTTTCACACAATCAGCAAACCTTAATGAACACATGAAGATCCACACTGGAGAAAAGCTGCATGCATGTGATCAGTGTGGTAAAATGTTTATATGGGCTTCAGTTCTGAAGAAACACTTGAAAGTTCATTCAAAGGAGAAACCACCTTCATGTAATTTGTGTGGTAACAGTTTTGTGCGTCTACAAAATTTGAAAGTAGGTCAGAGAATATACAATGTTGTGGGAGAGTACATGTGCTTTGAGTGTGAAAATACTTTTACTTCAACGACGTGTACAAAACAGCATGAGAGGATTCACACTGGAGAAAAACCTTATAAGTGTGCACACTGTGACAAGATATTCAGTCGGTCAGCACATCTGAAAACACACAATAGGATCCACACTGGAGAAAAACCTTATAAGTATGCACATTGCAATAAGCGATTCAGTGATTCAGGAGACCTAAAAAGACATGAGAGGATCCACACTGGAGTGAAACCTTATAAGTGTTCACACTGTGACAAGA